AAAGAAAAGAAAGAAAGAAAGAAAGAAAGAAAGAAAGAAAGAAAGAAAGAAAGAAAGAAAGAAAGAAAGAAAGAAAGAAAGAAAAGAAAGAAAAGAAAGAAAGAAAAGAAAGAAAAAGAAAGAAAAGCTCTGGCCAAGCCAGAAGGAAGTGGCAGTCCCAGTCCAGACCCGAGCAGATGGGCTTAGTGGGAGGTGAGCAGACCCTTTTGCGTAGAGCAGAAAACCCACCTAACCCTATACTAACCCTATAGGGGAGCAGTAGAATATAGACCTATAGAAGGAGGGAGAGGCAGATGTTGGAAAGCTTTGAATATCAAGCTTGGTTTTTTTGTTGTTGTTGTTTTGTTTTTTAGGGGCCGGTGGAGAGGGGCAGAGGGAAAGGGAGACAGAGAGAGAATCTTAAGCAGGCTCTGCGCTGGGCGTCCTGGGCTCGATCTCACAAACCCTGACATTATGACCTGAGCAGAAATCAAGAGTCAGACGCTTAATCGATGGAGCCACCCAGGTGCCCCTGTATATCAAGCGTTTTAAAAGTATACATTGGATTGCAGTTCCATCACTTACTTCCTCAATGATCCTGGACAAGTTAACTTCTCTAAGACTCTGTTTCCTCCATCTATAAAATAAGGATCATAATATCGGAACCTACTTCCACGGTGGCTGTGAAGAAGAGATGAGGCGATGCAGGTAAAACACTCAACAGAGGGCCCTGTAAACAGTTAAGTGCTCAATAAGTAGAAGCAATTATTATTATAACAATTACTGTTATTAACCCCAACATAAGCAAATGTATACAGATGTTTGAGCAGGAGGAGGAAGTGATCAAAGAAGTTCTTTAGGAGGATTAAATTCACCATCTCTAATTAGCTCCCCTCCAGAGTTAAAATTCCAAATTCATCTCTTCCCCCTTCCCCACTCTATAACTTCCTTCCTTCCTAGTAAACACCATGCCCAGACAGAGCCTGAAACCAGTAACCAAGACTCTCTCATATTAGTGAAGGGATTCCAACTGGTAAGCAAGTTGAAATATGGCCTCTGGAGAACCAGAACCCCCCAATCCCAGCCCCAAGGATTTCAGCCACCACCACCATCACCACCATAGATTTATATACAGGGTTCATCCTAAAGAGAATAAAGCAGGTGATATTCCTTTTAATTTCAATTTTAAAGCCTACACAATTTCCCCCCAAACTCCAAGGAGGGGTCCAGGTTTTCAGAGATTGACCCTGATCTAAGAGTTTATTCTCTGGAGTCTCTGAAGAGAAGCCTCTCTGTCCCTCAGTTTCCTCATCTATAAAATGGGAGATAATAATGGTGACTATTTCATGAGGTTCTTGTGAGGACTGAATGAGTCAATATGTGTAAAGGGCCTAGACCATTGTCTGGTCCATAGTAAGTCTATAGGTGTTATACTTTTTTAAGGACTTCATTTTTTCTATCTTGTTGATAATGCTTATTTGTGGTCATGTCTTTTTAAGTGACTAGGCATTAACAGTGTCCCCATAACAAGCTACTTCAGCCCCAGTGCACCTCTTGGGTAGAAGTAAGTTTGGCCAATGGCTTATAAATATTCATCCTCCAAATCAGAGGCAACCAGCTTTTCCACAGACCCAGCAGTGGTTTTATCGAACTTCATTTAATGAGAAAATACATGGCAGTAAAAAGAATCCAGCCAAGCTTTTAAATTAACAGGTAATTTTATTAATAACAAGGGCATCTACACACATTTGAAAACACATGTAGGAAACATAAGATTAATTCAGTTTATAACAATGTCTGGAGTCCATTCGGATTCATGAAACCCTTAGGATCAACTCCAGGACCCCTTAGCCAAAAGCAGAGTTGAATAACTGATCAGACCCATCAGTGTCTTCATCAGCAAAATCAAGGCTTAGACAGAAAGAGTGAACATTTTGTAATTACTTAAAATAAAACTAAAATGCAATTGTCTGCGCATTTGAGGATACAAAGGTGGACAATGTCAGCTACATGACCAGTGAACCAATCCCTTTGCTTTTCTCAACCTCTGGGTTTTAAGGGGGTTATTTAACCTTGCCTGTCTCACAAGGTCTATCTTTTCAAGGCCTCCCGATAATCACTGAGAAGGTGAGTGTAAATTAAAAGTTCATCTCCATGGGGAACAGAGAATCAGGATGGAGATGGTGGGTGTCAGAAAAGATGAGAAAAGGATCTTTCCAGTGACCAATGCTCTGAATTTAAAGAAAATCCAAAAGAGGTTACGGTACAAGAAGCAAAAAGGGAAAACCAACCACCACCACCTCCTTTTTGGTGCACAAAAAGAATCTTAACCCGGGCCTCCTCAGAGATATTGCCCTGAAATGACCCCAGACCTACTTGGCCAAAGAGCTCCAAAAACATTTCCGTTTTCATGTCTTCACGTGTACCTAATGGAAATGAACGGCACGCATCCATCCAGGAAGCGATTAAGAAAGGGATAGCGTGGGAAAATTAATTCGATAAATTTTAATTCAGTAAGTATTTAAGTGTCCACTATGTGCCAGGCAGCCCGGCGCTGACTATATTTAGCAGAAAACCATACCAGCAAAGTCTGTTAAGGGCTTGAGGAGAAAGACCATAAATAAGAAAATAAACGAACCAACTTCTGACAGCTGCTAAGAGGAAGAGAAAATGAGACCAGGTGATAGCAGGAACGAGACGCAAATTCCTGAGTGGGACTTGGGAAGGTCTCTGAGAGGTGAATTTTGAGCCCAGCCCTAAAAGACCAGCGCCTTGCAGTGACCCAAGGCCGGGGCGTTCCAAAAAGAGAGAATTAAGTGCAAAACCGATCCACAAACCGAGAAATAATAGGGATTTCAAAGCCCCAAAGGGAGCGGCGGCAACCAGAACCTACGAATTCCGGGGCGGGCGCGTGATTTTGAATATTCATGTCGTCCAATCAGGGAAAGGCTAGGACCCGGCACCGCAGGCCCCGCCCTCAGTGCCCAGACCGCTGGTATCCACAGGAGGCCACACCGCAGGGCAGAAGTGGTGACTGGGCACCCCGGCAGCTGCCAAACGCTCGCCAAACGCTCGGGAGAATTCTTCAGGGCTCTGACGCAATGTTTCCGGCACCCGGGTTTCGTTGTCCTGGGGTCCTTTCTTAAGTGAGGATGACCGAAATTACTCATTTCGTTTTAGAACACCGATGAAACATACACCCAACAAAGTCACCAGGACACAATAGTCTGGGGACGGAAGGGGAGAAGCGATTTTCAATATCCTAATTCGGAAGGACTTGTACGAAAACTAAGCAGCACAGTTAAGGAGTTAAGACGCGCCCTAGATTAAAAAAGCAAAGCCAGTCACGCGCCAGGAATCTCACGTAGGAAAGGCTTAAAAAGCTACGTGTGCCATCTTCCATGATCTTTCACGAGTAGAGTAACTTACTTTGTGAGAGCAAGTGAGGGGAAAACAAGTGAACAAAGCTCTTTTCTGGTGATTAGGTGGGTGGCTCTGAAAAGAGCCTTTGGAGTCAAGCGGCCGGCGACTCATGCGAGCGCCGTGTCCCGGCAGGGACTCACTTGGAGCTGGTGTACTTGGTGACCGCCTTGGTGCCCTCGGACACGGCGTGCTTGGCCAACTCGCCGGGCAGCAGCAGGCGCACGGCCGTCTGGATCTCCCGGGACGTGATGGTCGAGCGCTTGTTGTAATGCGCCAGGCGGGAGGCCTCGCCGGCGATGCGCTCGAAGATGTCGTTGACGAAGGAGTTCATGATGCCCATGGCCTTGGACGAGATGCCGGTGTCGGGGTGTACCTGCTTGAGCACCTTGTACACGTAGATGGAGTAACTCTCCTTGCGGCTGCGCTTGCGCTTCTTGCCGTCCTTCTTCTGGGCTTTGGTGACAGCCTTTTTCGAGCCCTTCTTGGGCGCGGGAGCGGACTTTGCCGGTTCAGGCATTGTATAACACCTCACTCGTTAGCAAAGAAAAGAAGTGCGAGAATGGGCGGGCCTGATCCTTTTATAACCACCGTATGCAAATTAGGGCTCCAAAAGCCCTTCGTTCCCATTGGGCCTTGTAGGGACCTTGCGTTATCAGTAATAACTACGTAACAACACCTACTGTTGGCCTCATTGGCCAGTTCTGGAGCCAATTTAGGACCAATGAAAAACTCGTTCCTGACCCCACCCCTAGCAAAGCTTATAAAAGCTTTTCAATCGCTGGTTTTTTTGAATCCTGTTTTGTTGTGAGGTTCTGAGCTTTAGGTGTTTTAATCTTACCTTCAACCATGTCTGGTCGCGGAAAGCAAGGGGGCAAAGCCCGTGCCAAAGCCAAGTCGCGCTCGTCCCGCGCTGGCCTGCAGTTCCCGGTGGGCCGGGTGCATCGCCTGCTGCGCAAGGGCAACTACGCCGAGCGGGTCGGGGCCGGCGCGCCGGTGTACATGGCGGCGGTGCTGGAGTACCTGACGGCGGAAATCCTGGAGCTGGCGGGGAACGCGGCCCGAGACAACAAGAAGACGCGCATCATCCCCCGCCACCTCCAGCTGGCCATCCGCAACGACGAGGAGCTGAACAAGCTGTTGGGCAAAGTCACCATCGCTCAGGGCGGCGTTCTGCCCAACATCCAGGCCGTTCTCTTACCAAAGAAAACTGAAAGCCACAAAGCCAAAAGTAAATAAAACCCTGATAAGCCAAAGACTAAAGGCTCTTTTTAGAGCCACCCAAGTTTTCAAAAAAAGAGCTAACGCGCTATTTTCGTTATCAGCCCCTCAATTGACATTTTGGTGGCTCTTAAAAGAGCCTTTGGGGTTAGTGGGGATGGTCTCGGCCTTCCTAATTACTTGTTCTTGCCGGGCTTGTGACTCTCCGTTTTCTTGGGCAACAAGACCGCCTGAATATTGGGCAAGACGCCGCCCTGGGCAATGGTGACACCCCCAAGTAACTTATTGAGCTCTTCGTCATTTCTCACGGCTAGCTGTAAATGGCGGGGGATGATGCGCGTCTTCTTGTTGTCTCGGGCCGCGTTCCCCGCCAGCTCCAGGATTTCCGCCGTCAGGTACTCCAGCACCGCCGCCAGGTACACCGGCGCGCCGGCCCCGACCCGCTCGGCGTAGTTGCCCTTGCGCAGCAGGCGGTGCACCCGGCCCACCGGGAACTGCAGGCCAGCGCGGGACGAGCGCGACTTGGCCTTGGCGCGAGCTTTGCCTCCCTGCTTTCCGCGTCCTGACATTACGGCCAAATATGCAGTTACAGCTTCTTAATTCAAGGAGAAGGAAGTGGAAAGGATAACCAATTTGATGTAATTTATAAGAGCTACCGGGAGGGGTGAAGGGAAGTAGCCCAATCAAAGAGCCAATAGGAAAGCAGAAAGCAGCTTCTTCGTTTGCATCCTGCGCTACGAGGAAATGACGGATTTCGTAAGTACCTAACCAATCGCTGGGAGCCACATTAAAGCCCCTTATTTGCATGCCAGGATTTTTTAAAGAAAGAAGGCTTTCGGACCAAACGCTGTTTTGCATTTCGCCTTTTACTGAATGGCATATTTTGTTTCCAACTTAAGAGAAGGGCAGGGGGGGGATCTTTTTTCCCAGTTCAGAGCTAGAAGGGAAATCCTCCTAAGAAGGACCCAAAAAGCCGGCTGAGGGCCTCCAGCAGAAGCAGAGTTGCTCCCATTCAAGGGTAGGGATTCTAAAGCCCATTATTCCCTTGAGCCTTAAGTTACTCTCCAAGTCCCGCCTTTGCTGTCTCTTCACAGCCAGACTTCCAAAAGAATATGTTATTAAGGCCGCCCGCTTTCTCTGCAATTTAGTCGTGGCCTTCGGTGAGCCTTCGCCCCACCCCCAGCTGCCTACGCTCTTCGGAATCCACTGTAACCAAGGACCGGATTTAGATTTGTCTTCCTTCTCTCGACCTCCAGGAGGCATCCGATACCGCCTTGAAACTTGCTCCTTTGGCTTTCAAAATGTCCTCCGACTTTCCTCCTCGCGCTCCTTTTTTCCTCTACACGTCCCTGGATTCCCGTGTCTGTCTGGGTTTTGCCTCCTACCCAACACCCCCCTCCATCCTTCACTCTTCCCGAGGAGTCTTCCCACTTCCATGCTTTCAATTACAGACATCCAGATTTGCTCCGGGAGCTGAGACCCTGACACCAAACTGTTTGCTGGGTACTTCAACCCATTTGTCCCAGCAAAATTCTACCTATCCAAACGCGAACTTATCTATACGACCCCCCAGTCGCCTCTGTTTGCTCTCTCCCTCAATTACAACCTAAGCCAGAATCTACACTTACCTGCATCTCAACAGCATATCCGGTCACTTCCCTAACGTCTCTTCAGCCTTTTCTCCGTGCTCCTGTCTGCCTCCTCATGGCTCTCTTAGACTTCAGCAACAGCCCTGCAGACTTGTTTTCCTTCATCCTCCAATTGCCTTCTGGAGAAATCTTTCCGGAGAGTTTTGTTCCTTTCTCCTCAGCTTCCCCCCCCTGGAGTGTTCTACACCCCTCACACCATTTGCACCCTCCTGAGTATCCCATAAGGACAGGGAGTAGAATACTGTAGAGAAGGGTAGACTTAAATCCTATTCCTTGAGCCCATTTCTGATGTTCCCTCTTTCATCCTCACCTTTATTGAACTGACCTTTATCAAGTACCGGCTACCTACCAGGCAACGGGGATATAGATAGCTGAAACTAGAAAACAGAGGAAATCTAAATTCTGGAAGTTAAAATCAGCTGTCTGTAGACATTATCCCTGGTAAGAATGCTGGTATAGATTTGTGAAACAACCAAGTTCAATCAAAGGCTACGGGAGTGTTTTTTCGATAGCAGAACTCTATCAGCTATATCACTGCAGAAGATGCCTGTGTTAATAGATGTGGTCCACATAGAGCCTAAACAGGGCAATTACAGTAGGAATGTGTTGTTTCTCCAGCACTAAGAATGTATATTATATGTCTGCTAGACACAAAGGTTTGGGCTATTATAGAAGGGTCCTTGGTGTGAAAACATCAGCCTTTTCTCACAACCTGGGTGAAGTAGTTCTGAAGACTGTTTAACTTTCTTAGCTCAGATTCTGGGCTCAATTAACCACTTTCCAATTATTCTACTTCAAGCTAAAAATATGAGACTGAGAAGGGATGAGCCAGTTATGAGAAGATATATCACTAGAGGGTAATGAACTTGCATTCTAGACTATTCATAAATTTCTTGTGTGTTTTGTTAGTGGGAGTCTCTCCCCAATAAGCCAGTACACTCTGGAAGTTCTGATGGTGTCAACTTTTCAGACCTACAGGGTCTGAACCCAGACAGTGGGGACCCCACCACAACTCTGGCACCTTGAGAGTTCCTGCTTGAGGGGGCAGCTGACCTCCCCCCGTCTTTGACCTCTGATCTCTTTTTTACTTCTATCACAGTGACCCTGTGCTATTAGGAAAGGTGAAGGGCAAAGAGATTATATGATGTAGATGTGATTATTTGTATCACAGATAAGGAAAGTGAGGCTCAGAGAACTTAAAGCACTTGCTGAAGGTGACACAGCTATTTACTAAGACATGATTAGAACTCAGGTCTGCCTGGCTCAGAAATTGTGCTCTTCATCACTGCATTCACCCTGCTTCACTCACTAGATGTTGGGCTTCATGAAGCCGCTTAACTTACAGAGCCTCCCTTCCTTCCTCTATTAAAGAGAGGAAGAGAATGAGAGAAAATTAGATTTAGTATTTTAGTTTCCATCCAGCTGTAAAACCTTATTAGATAAGGCTAGATAGGCCAATATCCTACAAATTATACCAGGTTCAATTACTATCTATTGCTCCCCGGAGCTCTTTTCCCAGTGTTCTTACCAGAGCTATTAAAACATGAAATAGAGCAGGCCATCCATAAAAGTAGTACCCCATCACAAACAGGCTGGGTCTTACTTCCTTTAACAAAAAGGCAACTGGAATTTTTAATTTTTTTTAACATTTTCTTTTTTTTTTTAAGATTTTATTTATTTACTCGAGAGAGAGCGCACAAGCAGGAGAGGGAGAAGCAGGTTCCCTGCGAGCTGGGAGCCCAACGTGGGGCTCGATCCCAGGACCCTGAGATTGTGACCGGAACTGAAGGCACCCAGGCACCCCGCAACTGGGATTTTTAAACTGAGCTCCCTTCCCAGGCAATCTAGTTAACCAAACATTTATTTTGCTTTCTCGCCCCTTTCCACCCATAGTCCTCTCTCTTACCCCCTCCCCCTCCCTCATCCCTTGCTGCATACCATTCAAGCAAGGCCTTTCCACAGTTACCTGCCATTGCACATACAGTGGCCTTCGGCTAGAATGCTTCTTCCTCCTCTTGACCTGGCAGAATCCTCCTCGTCCTTCCAGTTTCAGCCCAGGTATCACCAGCTCCCTCATGAGGTCTTCCCTTCCCCCCCCCCACAGCCTCAGTGTACCCACTTCTCTGTTCAGATCCTGGTGGTAGCACTTCCCACTCTGTACTGTGCTTTCACTTTGCTCTCACTTCCTTTCTGTGACCACCTCAAGGGAGAGACTGTGTCTTTTTGAATCTGAGTCCTTAATTCCTTCTACCTGGCTCTTAATAGGGTAATTAAATGTTTTCGACTTGAATAAATGGCACTAACACTCTTAGGGAATTAGTGTCTTCTTTTCAAAAATCTTTCTCTTTACTCAACAACCACTCTCCAAATGCCGGCTACAAACAGTAGACGGCAACAGCCAAAGTGATGGAAGATATGCTAAAAGCTCTTCAATTAAACAAAAATAACATAGCCAACCATAATAGAGTTGTCAGAATAAATGAAAATAAACGTAAAGAACCTAGCATGGAGCCTGGAACCTGAGAGGGCCCAAAGCTGTATTAGGAGGCTGAAAAGCTTAATGGTTAAGAGCCCACATTCTACAGCCTGACTCTGCATTGTTTACCAGATCTGTGACCATGGGCAAATTACCTAACCTCTAAGGGTCTCTGCTTCCTCACTGGTAAAGCAAAAGTAATAACAGTAGCTACTTCATGGGGTTGTTGTAAAAATTAAAAGTTCATAAATGTAAAACATTTAGAACAGTACCTAGCACCAACATAACAGGGGCATCCCAAAAACTCTTTGAAGCAATTTGTCATTTCAAAAATAAACATTAGGTTTATCAGATGACCTAGCAATTCCACTCCTGGATATACAGCAAACAGAAGTGAAGGTTTGCATGCAATAAAAAGCATGTACCAGAATGTGGTATATTCATATCCTGCCATACCACACAATGAAATGAGCAAATTGCTGCCACGCACATGGATGAATCTCACAATGTTGAGTGAAAAAATGCAAACACAAATGAATTCATGCTACGTGATTCTTTTTTTTTTCTAAAGATTTTATTTATTTATTCATGAAAGAGAGAGAGAGGCAGAGGGAGAAGCAGGCTCCCAAGGAGCAGGGAGCCCGATGCGGGACTCGATCCCAGGACCCTGGGATCATGACCTGAGCTGAAGGCAGGAGCTTAACCATCTGAGCCACCCAGGCACCCTACGTGATTCTTTTTATATGAAGTTTAAAAATGGGCAAAACTAATCTATGGTGATAGAAGTTAGAATAATGGTTACCTGTGGCAGGGTGGTGTTGACTTCCCTGGAGCCTTCAAGGAGCTGGAAATTTTCTGTATCTTGATGTGGATGTACTCATATGTAGAATTAAACTGCACACTTAAGATTTATAAATTCCTTATGTGTAAATTATACATCAATAAGCACAAATTAAGTTTTCCAAGAACAAATCCTGAAGTCATCATCATGTAGGGAAAATGAGTATTTTGTTGGGATGCCCAATCCTCATGTCACAGATTAGTGTTTGTTTTTTGTTTTATTTTAATTACACATGAGGTGGCCACCACCATAATCTCTTGGTGTTTAAAGCCTCTAAAAGCCTCAATCTGGCCATGACAAGCCTTCACTACATAGTAGATATCTTTATGACTATGTTTTTATTAGAAAAAAAGACACTAAACTTGCCCTATGGAGTTTGCAATTTACAAAGCTTTTGTTCGTTTTTGCAACAGAAATAATAATGTCATCAGCCCTCTCTTCATACATTAGTTCACATATCTATCCAATACATTTAATCGAACATCCAGGTATATCAACACTGACCTTGATATAACACATTTAGAACATCATGAATATAGGGGCGGAGGTGGCTCAGTCAGTGAAGCGTCTGACTCTTCATTTCTGCTCAGGTCATAATCTCAGGGTTCTGAGATCGAGCCCCAAGTCGTGCTCATGCTAGGTGTGGAGCCTGCTTAAGATTCTCTCCTTGTGCCCCTCCGCCCCACTCTCATGCTCTTAAGAAAAAAAATAGTAATAAAATAATTTTTAAAAAGAGCATAATGAATACAGTCCCTCTGCCCAGATCTCTC